ACCATAGCTCTGATACCACTAAATGTAACACCCCAAACCGATGCGGGTAGCCCGATCCGATTCGGGAAGTCACATTAGGGCCACCGGAGCGACCCACCGTAAAAATAGTGGAAATTTTAAAACTTTTTATCAGAACATGTAAACTTATAAAATCATTTATCACTATTTAAAAATAAAACAGATTTCCAAACTCGTATATAAATCAAAATACAATTATATCAGAAAAGGAGCTTAATTGCGATAAACGGATCAAATCGGGTGATAAATCAGTGAAAGACGGCTTACCGGGTTCGAATTTGGCGAAACGGACTTCGGATTCGGATTCAGGACGTCGAAAGCATAAAATGTGACTTTTAGGAAATTTGGAATTTTTGGTCAAAATCAAAGTCAACGGGTTTGACCGGCAATTTCGAGGCCTTCGGGTTCGAATTTCGAAAAACGGACATCGGAATCGGATTTGGAACGTCGAAAAATTTCAGGATAGGTATACTCGGTCGAAGTCAAAGGTCGTTTAATGCCCGGTCAAAGCCAGTCAAAGTTTTGGTCAACAGTGGTCAACAGCGGTCAACGGGTCAACGAGTCGAGTCAACGGGTCGGGTCGGGTCGGGTAAACGGGTCGAGTCGGGTTGTGACCGATCAAACCGGTCAACTATGCACCAAAACCGGTCAAACCGGTCATTTTTTTCTTCCCCACGCGCAATGGCGGAGCGTGGGGGCGCGTGAACAGTGATAAAATCCCGGAAAAATTTCTAAAAATTATTTTGAGCGATTTCGAGATACTTACAAAGCTCGGTTCACAATTTTGAACGGCGTAGAGCTCGATTTCAACAAATCGGAAACTTTGACCGCTTCACCTCCTCACGCGCCGCCGTCGACGGAGACCAAGGATGACAGCGGCAAACTCGGAACGATGCAACGAACACGATGGTGCGGGAGGTGTCGTAAACAGATGACCCGATCGTCGTGAATCGATGAAAAACCAACTAAAATCGAGTTATTACCGATGATACTTTCGACTGAAATTCACGACGAACGGTGATGATTCACGACCAAAGGTTTGAGGGGTTTTGTTCCTCGATTGACAACGAACACGATGGTGGTTTCGGCTCGTCGTTTGGAGGTCGGACGGCGAGTAGATCGGAGTTGGAAGTTGGGTTGTTGGAGAAGGGAAATCTGGAAAATATGAAACCTGCGCACGGGGAGGAGCTTATAATTCATCATATATAAGAAATGGTTAAATCATGGGTTTAGCCACTGAATTTTCCTGCACTTTATAAAACGGTCTGCCAACTTTAAAACTTTACAATTTAATCCCCAATGTTTCTTTCAAAATATCAATTAAATCCGCCACTTTATAATTTCTTAATTTTAGCCCCTAAATTGGGGTGTTACAATACAGATGATACGACAAAATCAACCCTAGAGTCTAGCATCTTAGGTGTTATTTTAGATATATGTTTTTTTTATTCTAGTTATCAATATTGAACTACATTAAATTTTACGTTAATGTAAACTTTGATTTATTATTATAAATTCTAAGTTTATTGTTATGTATGTAAAGTTTATTGGATAATGCTACAAGTTAAAATTTTAAATTTGGGCAAAAAAAGAGCAGAGAATAGCATTTGAAAAATCTATTTTAATTAGCGACGTTTGTATAAAAAATGTCACTATTGCAATGTTTATAGACGTAGTTAATAGCAGCGTTTTAAATTCACAAATGTCACTATATGTCATAACATTTAGCGGTATTTTTTTCAACAAATGCCACAAAAGAAAATATAAATAGCAGCGTTTTTTTCTTCTCTAAATATCTCTAAATATCATAACTTTTAGCGGCATTTGTAAAAAATACGCCTCTAAAAACATAACTTTAACGGCGTTTGTCATTCACAAAGCCACAATCTTTTGCGGCGTTTGTTTTTGCGCCACAAGGATTTTTAGCGGCCCTTAGTTCCGTCACAAACCTTGGAGTACACCGAGGGTTTGATGACTGACATACTAGACTTGTTCAGTTAGTCACTTTTATTTTTAATTTGTCTTATTTTGATTATTGATGCAGAAAAAAATTATGTTTCAATTATTTATGTTATTAATCTATTATATTTTGGTTATTGAATTACTCTTTTTGTCCCATAATTTGTCTTTCATATTGATTATATATACACATAATTTTAAGAGATATATTTAACAATAATTTGTGTCTCATATTGACTATACACATAATTTAGGAGATATATTTAACTAAAGAAAATGAAAAAAAAATCCTTAAAAATTGATTGACAGATTTATTTTGATAGGTGTAAAAGAGTGGAACATACAAGAGTAAAAAAGAAAACATAAGTATTGTTATTTATTGATTTTTCTAATATGATATTTTGAATGAAACAATTTAAAAAAACACACATTTAGTGGGACGAAATAAGTATTATTTTTTGACAAATTCTAAATCTAATATTGATTTTGTCTACAAAGGAGGGGAAGAGGAAACTCTATGAAAAGGAAGGAGATTTCTCCTAGTGCGTTATTGAACTATTAATTCTTGTTAATTTGATGATTTGGTAATATGATATATTAAAAATAATGGTCTCTAACACAAAAAATTCTATAAATAACGTCTATACATATATCATATTTATGACCATATGATAAAAAAAAATTTGATATAAACCAAGATGTGGATACAATTGTTGTTAATGGGATATCCGGACAACCAATGAGACAACTAAGGACGACCATAATAAGATTTACGAGTAGTCTTTCTTTACAATGCCGTACCCTCGAAGCAATGCGTCACGTCACGTCACGTCATTGGTGCTAAATGAACAAAGGTTCCCCAAGATAAGGACGACGGATCGAAGGTCATAACCGTAACTTCAATGTAGGGTCCAATATGTCGGCATGCAGACCAAGAAACACGACTCGACACCAGTTACCTTGATTAGTTGATTTCAAACGAAGCTGGCTTGATGTTAGGGCAAATGTAGTTCGGGTTAGCGTTTTCGAAACAAATGAGGATAGGAGTGGAAGTTGCACACGCCACACTGGTTACCAAGAAGGATTCGACTAATTGGTAGATATCACTTTTCGTCTAAGAATAATATATTTGGTAATTATATAATTTAAAAAACTCAAAAAAGACATACTATTTAAACGATTTTAATGATTAAGTGATGACTATTATTTTTTAAGATTTTGGGCTTAAACACCACGTATATAAGGATATGAGTGTAGACTCGTCCCAGATGATTTACATACCCTGTGCTACTTTTTAAAATGAGACCCATAAAATATTTTACAATAAAAATTAATTTTCAAACTTTAAATTATGAGAGATCTACTAGGTCTTTTTACCAAAAATCATCATGAAAAACGATTAAAGATAATGTCCAAATCTTTGTTTACAAAATTCTCTGCAATTTCCCAAGCACCAAACGGAAAATTTAGTTTTCCTTCGAGTGAAAATGTTGTTAGACCACAAATATTATACATGGACGAGCCTAAATGATATTCATGTGTAGTCCCTTGAATTTTACAGTCTTGTGACATATCACATGTTACACTTGTCATTGGACATGCCTATATAAGTGAATGTTCATTATTAAATGATTGAGAATTTTTTTAACAAATAATACATTGTATTCACCTTGAATTTATAAAAAAATATCATACATCCTACAAAATAGAATACTTAAATCACGATATAAAAATTACACAAATATGATAAGAATAGAATAATATATCAAAATCAATCAATAAATTTGTAAATTGTCAAAAGTTATATAAATGAATTATACACTTGTAAAGCTTTATAAGAAATTATAGTACTGTAAATGTGTACACACAAAATAACATACACGCAAACACATACTAAACATGCCATGTTTGTTTTTTATACGTAAATGTAATTGAAACGTGTTAAATGTGAGAACGTTGAAACTTTCTAATAGTTTTTTATATTGGAAATAATTTTTTACAACATAAAAGCCGCTAATTTTATTAAAACTTAAAAAATATTTAAATTTTAATAAAAATTTACAATTATAATCGTAAATTAAAACATATAATAAGAATATTTTCTTAGAACCATTGATACAATAAATTAGCCACTTAAGACTAAATAAGAAAAATGTTAAAAACCTAACTAAATAAACCCAAACAAAAAATATATATAAACATATCTGATTGCATCGAAAAACGAACTATAAATTAAAGCGGATTAAGCTATTGAAAGATCACTGACAAACCATAAATCATAATCGAGCGACATGAGAAAACTATCCACGAACATAAATCGTGTATCCAAATCTAATCAAAGGGTCAAAAGCAAGGAAGATCAACATGATAACAAATAAGAGTCATGTTGATTAATCGTGACAATATCAAATCCAACCTTAAAAAAATAATAAACAAAAATAACAATCAAATGACCGAAAACATACTGAAAAACATAGAAAAATGAGTCATAAAGATAGAGTTATTAAAAATTAAAAACAAGAAAAAAATAAAGATACGATATAATAAAATAAAATAAAAGAATATCGACGATCAGAGACCAACACTAAAGTTAATGTCACTACCGATTATATTGATGAAGAAAAAAACAAACACCGGAATAAGAAAAAGAAAAAAACTAAGGTTTTATTGGAAAAAATAATATTTGATTCAGGTAATATACATATAATATATCTAAATCATAAGAATTAAATATAGTTAAATTAAAAAAGAATATAATTTATACATAATACGAGTACTAATGATAGTATTTGAATTAACAAATATTAATTACTATTCAATCATAATTAATTTTTTAAAATTTAAAAACTATAAAATAATATAAATATCAAATTAAAATATAAAAACTAAATCTAATTTGTTTTAGTGATAAGCAAATAAAATTATTTGATATTAATAGTGTGTACATTTTAGTTTATAATTTTCCATAAACAAAAAGAAGATAACAATGATTGTGGATGCTCGTTCCACAGTATCCCCACTTTCCCACTCTCTCTATTTATAGAATCTCTCTGGATCACTCCACTCAAAAACTCATAAACGTATACATTTTCCGTCGCCACTGAACTAAGCCATGTTGAAGCCTCAAGCTTGCCAGTTCGACTCCATCAAAACGATACTGCCATTAAAGAATCCTTTGCTCCATGGCTCTGCTCGTCCATTTTACGTACGCCGGCCTTCGTTCAATAGAGCTCGTAATAAGGGTAAACTGGTGTTTTTCACCAGAAATATTAAAGCGGTCACCATTGGAACTGAGAAGCTCGTCGGTGTCAACGCTACCGTCACAGTGAAACAAACCGTTAGTTCCATGACAAACCTAGGGCTAAACCGAGGGCTTGATGACATACAAGACTTGCTCGGTAGAACTCTTCTGTTGGAGCTTGTTAGTGCTGAGCTTGACCCAAGTATGTTTTTCTTTTCTTTCGCATATAGGAGAAAATAAAGACCTAATTATGTTCTTAGTCCCTTTACTCTTCATACCATTCAAATTTATTTCCTCAACTGTTTTGATTTAATAATTGGATCTGCAGGAACCGGAGGGGAGAAGGAGACGGTTAAAGGTTATGCCCGACAAGTGAGCAAAGAGAACGATGACGTGAAATACGAGGCCAAGTTTGAAGTTCCGGCAGGTTTTGGAGAAGTTGGTGCTGTTGTCGTTGAGAACGAGCATCACAAGGAGATGTATGTACAGGAAATCGTTCTAGATGGTTTCCATAACGGACCTATCAAAGTAAAATGTGCTTCCTGGGTTCATTCCAAGTTCGACAATCCTCACAAGAGAGTCTTCTTCACAAACAAGGTAAAATCTTAATTACATAGAAATTATTATAAAAGAGTATTATTTATATGAGAATTTGATATATTTGAAGGTGCATGCAGTCATATCTGCCATTGGAGACCCCAAGTGGATTGAAGAAGCTAAGAGAGGAGGAGCTGAAGGTATTGAGGGGTGATGGGCAAGGAGAGCGCAAATCGTTTGATAGGATATATGAGTATGATGTCTATAACGATTTAGGCAACCCTGATACTGATTTAAGCATGAAAAGGCCCATAATTGGTGGGAAACAGTTCCCTTATCCTAGACGCTGCAGAACCGGACGGCCCATGTGTAACACCGGTTAGATTTTTTCTTCTCTTCTTTTTTTCATTCTTTTATGTATTAATCTTACAAAAGAAAAAGAAACAAAAATACAAATTTCTTGCTTTTAATGTGGGTTGCAGATCCAGTTTCAGAGAAAAGGGCAAGCGTGCTGCCGTACATACCGAGGGACGAAGTATTTTCCGAGGTTAAGTTGCTAACGTTCTCAATAGATTATCTCTACTGTGTGTTACACAGCATGATGCCATCGCTAGAGCTTGCCATGGCCGACGCCAACCGTGGGTTTTCAAGCTTTTACGAAATCGATAAACTGTTCATTGAAGGGATAAACTTGCCTCTTGAAAAGGATAAAGGGTTTCTAAAATCAGTCATGCCTCGGCTCATCACGAGTACTATGACCGCCGCTAACAATGTTTTGCGCTTCGAACCTCCTCCGACGTTCCATAGTGAGAACTCAAAACCTGAACTCTCTTCCAGCACTATTGTATGACAAAAGTTGAAATAATGCTTATGTTCTCTTCTAATTACACTTGCATTATGTAATTTTATTTTATTTATTTAATTTTAGAGGACAAGCTGTTTTGGAATAGGGATGAAGAATTTGCTCGACAAACTCTGGCTGGTTGTAATCCATTTAGCATTCGGCTGGTCACGGTATGATATTGTAAATTAATGTGCAGTTATAAATATTCAATCTTTTCGATTAGTTAGTTCGATTACTAGACTAGCCGAAACAAAATTGGATTAAATTTGCGATTTGTCACTGTGTTTTATCTGAAATAATATCACAGGAATGGCCATTGAAAAGCAAGCTTGACCCAGAAATTTACGGTCCCTCGGAATCTGCCATTACCAAAGAACTGATCGAGCGACAAATCAAAGGTTATATGACAGTTGATGAGGTAAACCAGCCTTCAAAGCTTAAACCAATATATTTTCCACTGTTTTTTATTGCAAACTAAGATGATCTTAAGAAGGGGGAAAAAAACTCGTTTGGGTTTTTATTTATGCAGGCAATAGAGCAAAAGAAGCTATTTGTCCTAGACTACCACGACTGGTTCTTGCCATACGTAGAGAAAGCAAGGGACGTTGAAGGCAAACCACTGTATGCATCTCGCACCCTGTTCTTCTTAAATCCAGATGAAACATTGAGGCCTCTAGCCATCGAACTAACACGACCGCCGATGGACGGCAAGCCGCTCTGGAAGTCGGTGTACACACCATCTTGGAATCCCACCGATGTCTGGCTCTGGAGGCTTGCCAAAGTTCATGTTTTGGCTCATGATTCTTTCCATCACCACATTATAAGCCACTGGTATTTGCCAAATTAATTACATGGCTATAATAACTTTTAATCGACTGTGAAAATATTGTTTGAAGTTTGTCCTTGTCCTTTGTAGGTTGAGAAGTCACTGTTGCACTGAGCCTTACATACTTGCCGCAAATAGGCAACTGAGTGAAATGCACCCAATCTATAGATTGCTGCACCCACATTTTCGGTATACGATGGAGACTAACGCTCTAGGTCGACAATTCCTTATCAACGCTGGTGGGATTATGGAGAGTAATTTTAATGCAAGCAAGTACTGTGTGGAGCTCAGCTCTTTGGCTTATGGTCAGCAATGGCGATTTGACCATCAGGGTCTTCCTGCAGATTTAATTAGCAGGTACTATAGTTTGAAGAAGTCGGATGTAAATTGCCATTGTAACCCTTGTCAAAAATTAACAACTTGGTTCCTATGATTGTGGTTGTAATTGGTAGGGGAATGGCAGTTGAAGATCCCAATGCACCTCATGGTATAAGGCTGGCAATCAAAGACTACCCATTTGCCAACGATGGTCTCATCCTCTGGGATGCGCTTAAACACTGGATATCTGAATATGTCAACCATTATTATTCAAAAGCCAGTTTCATAGAGTCTGATGAAGAGCTCCAAGCATGGTGGAAGGAAATCCGAACAGTGGGTCACTCGGACAAGAAAGACGAACTGTGGTGGCCTGATCTCAGAACCCCACAAGACCTTATTGAGATCCTCACAACGATGGTTTGGGTTTGTACTGGTCACCATGCTTCAGTCAACTTCGGACAATATGCATACTCTGGTTACGTCCCAAATAGACCCACCATCGCGAGAACCAAAATGCCGGACGAAGATCCTTCGGAGGAACAATGGAAACACTTCTTGGAAACCCCTGAAGCTGTGCTCCTTGAATGTCTCCCTTCAAAATTACAAGCTGCTAGTGTGATAACAGTTGTGAATGTGTTATCGAATCATTCTCCGGATGAAGAATACATTGGGGAAACCATTGAGCCATCGTGGGCAGAAAACCCTGATATAAAGGCGGCATTTGATAGGTTTCATGGAAGGCTGGTAGAGCTTGAAAGTGTTGTTGATCAAAGGAATGGTGACAAAAGCTTGAAGAATCGAAATGGAGCTGGGATTATACCGTACGAATATTTGAAGCCCTTCTCGAAGCCTGGGATAACAGGGAAAGGAGTTCCAAACAGTATCTCCATTTGAATCTGTTAATGCTCAAATCATTGTTCTTCATTTAAAAAATATAAATTAAAAGTATAAATACAATCATAAATCTAAATTATGGAGCTTACGTGTTGAAGGTTATATTTTTATTTATTTATTTTAATTTTTCATTTTAAAATTCTCATAAGAGACATCTCAAGTAAACAGAGACCTTGGTTCTCCTAAAATAGTAAAAACATGTTTCCATTCTTTAAAAAAAAATATAAAAATAATATAATAATGTAACAACCCGAATATTTACAAAATAATATTTAATTGAAATTGGAGGTTAATTGTGAAAATTGGTAAATTGTTGGTGACTAAATCAAAATTTATGAGAGTTTATAGGTCATTTTAGAAGTGAAGGAAATCCAAGGACCAAGCCTTGAATTTACCCTAAAACTGTCGGCAGCTTTGATTATAAGCGTACATTTGGTTCTGATTTTCAGAACCAAAATGCTCCCAATTTTCCTTTCCCATACGCAGTTTCCAACTCCGATTCCGACGCCGTCCAAATTCCGATCATCGTTTTAAACCCACCGTTGTGTTCATCATCGAGCGAGGAACAAACCCTTCAAATTAATTGAAGCGAAACGCAGCCAAACGTCGGGAATTTCCAGTCAAAGTAGCGACGGTTTTGTTAGCTCTATCGCCGAGGAAATCTTAAATTCACCTCTGATCGTTGCTCCGTTTACGACACCTCCCGCACCATCGTGTTCCTTGTGCCGTTCCGAGTTCACCGGTGTCAACCTTGTCCGTAGTAGACGGCGGCGCGTGAGGAGGTGGTGCAGTCAAAGATTCGGCCGAGTTGAAATACGAGCTCTCCGCCGTTCAAAAATTTGAACCGATCGTTGTAAGTATCTCGAAATCGCTCAAAATAATTTTTAGAAATTTTTCCGGGAATTTTACGACACCGTGGCACTGTTCACGCGCCGCACGCGCCGCCGCAGGGAGAGTGAGCTGCTGGAAAACCGGTTTGACCAGTTTTGAACCGGTTTGACCGGTTCGAACCGGTTTGACCGGTCTGAACCGGTTTGACCGGTCTGACCCGACCCGACTGTTGACCCGACTCGACCGTTGACCGTTGACCGTTGACTTTCTTTGACCAAAACTTAAAATGGCTTTGACCGAGCATTAAACGACCGTTAATCTTTTCCGAGTATACCTATCCTGATAGTTTTCGACGTGCCGAATCCGTTTCCGTGGTCCGTTTTGTCAAATTCGAATCCGAAGGTCTCCAAATCTATGGTCAAAGTGGTTGACTTTGACTTTGACCAAGAATTTGAATTTTCGAAAAGTCATACTTTATGTTTTTCGACGCCCTGATTCCGATTCCGCAATCCGTTTGGCCAAATTCAGACTCAAAATACCTCAAATTGATAGTCAAACCCGAAAAATGCGTATATACTTAAGAAGTTTAGCTTTGAACAATTAAATAGGATTTGAGACTGATAAATATTATTGTTTGAAGGTACAAGAGACTCTCCGGATCGTTCGACAGCTCGACCCAGCTCTTCTAGATCAGTTAAACCACGTGTGCCAGTATTCACCCGTTCGAAAACTGTAGCAGAGCGTGGTGAAACCAGCAATCAGTAGATTTGTTATTTGAATCTATTGTCGAGGTGTGTTCTCTACTTATTATTGAACTGTTTTATTGGTTTTAATATGTGGTACACCGAATTCATTGGTTATTGTTTTATGGATGCACCAATTTAATGTGACAATTTATGGAATATGGCTGCTATCTAATTTTTGTTTTGAAATAGTATATGATTACCATGTTTTTGGATTTATGGAATTTATGTCACGGTGCAATTGAATTTTTGGAATTGAATTACGATGGAATAGCTCTGATCAAGCTAACTGGGCCTAATGTGACTCTTGAGGGCCCCAAGATGTTTCATTAGGTCGGCTTTCCTTTGCTGTGTGCTTAGGGTAAGCTATATGGACTTATTGACTTGGGCTTAAGGATACAAGCTTCAGAGCATATCCTTAAGTCGGCTTTCTTTTTGCTATGTGCATAAAGTAAGCTATATGGAAAATAATTTTGGGAACTACTGATGGTGTACCAGAAAAGGGTTTAAACTATGATTTTCAAAAAGTTAAACTCTTTTACGAATTTGTGAGATTACTGGACTATGATTTGTACCTATTGTGATTTTATGGAAATGTTGGGACACACTGAGCCTAGCTCACCTTTTGAAAATGTTTTCCCCCTTTCAGATACTGTTGGGTAGATACCTTGGTTCGAGCACTTGGAGGATCAACATATCTCTTGAAGTAAATCAGATTGTAATGTTTTTATCTGGCAAGTTGACTTTATTTTGGTGACATAGACCTTATTTTAAAATATCGGATTTTATAATGATAACACTTTTGCTACTACTGCTCGGTTTATTGTGATTTTGAATTTGAAGACATGTTTTAAATTAAATTATTATTTATTTGTACTATATTTACGAGTTGGATTTTGACAGTATAAATTGTTTATAATTTCATGTTATTTATAATGTGATTTTATATTGATGGAATAACGGTTGCGAAAAATGTCTTTAATAATTATAATGTGATCCACTAGACTTAGTCGAAACGCATAGGCCGGGTCTAGAGGGTTACAAATAATATCTCACCTGTCAAAAATGTATAACTCATTTCATACGTCGAGTACAAAATTAGCAGACTGAGTCTTGGATTATTATAAGAAGAAAAGTATGTTAATGTTGTCTTTAGACAAAAATACAAAAAACATGTTAGACTTGTAGGTGGATTTGGCTACATCAACGTTGTCTATATCCAGGTACTGATTTTGACGTCTCTATTGCATTGTTTTTGACTCTTCTAATGATTTTTTACTTGTATATTCAATGTATCCAGATACTGATAGGATCTATTCATACAGATGCCTAGAGGTTGGTAATCTGATAGTATCCATTCCGACTGATACCTAGAGCTTGGTATGAATTCATATAACATTTTTTTAATTCAAAAATATTATAACAAGTTGCAGAATTATCTCTTGTATCAAACCAACGAAGAAGTTTAATATTAGGATTATCTCTTGTATAATCAAATCTTAATACTGTTGATAATATCATATTAATCACCGACTCACGTAATATTATTAAATTAATTTTTTTTTATACAAGCAAGTAGCTGGGGATATAATTGTTGATAATGGAATCCCGTACAAGTAATGACGCAACGAAGGATACCGTGAAGCGTAATAAGATTTGTGTGTGGTTCTATTCTATGATGCGTAGTGTAGTTGAAAGTCAAAGATGGAATGTTTGGTTGCGATGCCGTCGCCTCGAAGCAATGCGTCACGTCGAAGCTGAGCTCGGTGCTAAATGATCAAAGTTTGCCGAGGCTGATCGACAGGCCAAGAACTTAACTTCAATGTAGGGCCCAAGTTGTGGGCATGCAAACAGGGAAACTCGACACAAATGACCTCGATTAGTTGATTTCAAACAAAGCTGACCTGGTGCAAATGTGGATCAGGTTACCGTTTACCGAAACAAATGTGGATAGGCGCTCCGTTGATTTTGGGTCATACGAGCCCAAATGAGCGGCAAAATGAGGAAGTTGTACATGCCACACTGACGCAGGTCACCGACAAGGGTTCGAGTAGAGGAGATAGAATCAAAATACATGGGAATATTACCAAAGAAGGAGGCTCTCAGCCAAATCTTCTTTCCCAGGGTGGTCGTATCGTTGATTTGTCAACAATTAAGTGAAATTTTTATACTATTATTTTCTTTTTGTCGGCAATTTATACCGACCAATTAGCATTTTTATATGGATTTAGAACTAAAAACGACATCAAATAAAAATATTTTTCAACAATTTATATTAATATTGAAGTTTTGGTCGATTTTGAAAGGATCAAAACACCTTTTGATAATTTAGGAGCAAAAACATAAAATGTAGTATTAATATTAAATAAACCATATACAAAATCTAACGTCATTCTATTTAATCTATCTCTAGTATTAGAGAAACAATCTATTATAAATATAGAGATTACACGAGTAAAAATGCATACAATAGTACAATATCATATATCTCTAAACCTCAATATATATAAAATCTATTTTGATAACTGATAACTTTCTCAACAACGGACACCTAAAAGTTACGGAGATCACATAAAAATTATATCTTTCTTAAAAAAATTCTACTCTCATAATTCTATAATTTAAGACCTATTCTATAGTTATACAAAAACAAACTTTGTTAATATCAAATTAAATTTAATTACAAATTGATCTTCAATTAATATAATTACAATGAAATTTTAATTCTTAAATAGAATTTTAGTAAATATATAACAACTTTTTAAATACTGAATTAAAATTTAACTGAGAAGTTCAAACATTAGAAAAAACTAAAATAACAAAAAACAACCACTAGCAAATAATTATTCACCTAACCATTTAAAATTTTATTTTATTAAAGACTACTGTTATCTTTTGAAAGAAAAAAAAATATTTTTTTGTAGAATTATATCTGTACTACAATTACTCAATTATCTGAATTTTAGGCCTTTAAGGGTAATCAATCACAATTTCCTTATGGGGTTTTTAGCATGAAATTAAGATGAATTATGGATCATAAACGTGTTTTTTTCCTTCCTCTTTTTCATATTTAGATTTGCTAGCAGTTTTGCAGATAATTTTTAAATAATATACTTGATTTCATTAATAATTTTTTTTGAAAAAACAAAAGGATAATATATTTGATAATTATATAATTAAAAAAAATTAATAGCAAAGCTCTATTCATAAAATTAAGTTTAGAAATATAACTAAATATAAATGTTAATAGATGAGATATATATTTGGGATAGACGCCGAAAACTGAGAAGGCAGGCAGGCAGCAAAAACCCTAGTAGTTAGGTATCACGTATCTTGGTGTTAAAGTAGATTTATTCGACCGACAATCGTTTGGTTTAGTGGAATGAGGCACTAGACCTCTTAAGCAAGGTAAGAGGTTCAAATCCCGGGGTTTGTGAATGGAGCAAATTGAGTTGGGAGGATCATCTTTACCTTTGCAGTATCCGATCCGGATTAGTTGATCAATAGAT